ATTAGAAAGAAACTACAAGGCAACACACATGGAAAAAAAATTTAGGAAATCATAGTAGAAAATTTTCCAAGTATGAGGGAAGATTTCAACATATCGGTAGGTGAAGTTTACAGAACACAAACCTCTACAATGAAAACAGAAGCTTCCCATGACACAACTTACTCAAGATTCAAGGTGTCCAACAAAAACAAAAATAAAACACACCGAATCTTAAAAGCTGTCACAAAAAAGCAAAAACAAAAAAACATTTAAAATTAGCCATTAATTATAGCAGACTTCTCAATAAGGACAACTTTTAAAGAGCCTGGAGTTAAGTGTTTCAAATCCTAAAAGCAAATATCTTTCAACCCAGTTTAAAATACCCAGTAAAATTTCAATACAGATGAAGAAATAATGACATTGAATGAAAAAGGACACTCAAGAGATTTACTAATACCAAACCAGTACTCCAGAAAATATTCAAAACTATCCAAGCCAGAGATGACAAAGCCAACAAAGTAAAAAATCCCGATGGAATTAATCAAAGCAAGGTGAACAAAGATAAAAAAATACAAAAAATAAAAATGGAGTCATTAATAGAAAAAGAATGCAATGTTAGGAATAAATCACTATCTTCCCATAATAATTCTTAATGTTAATGGCCTCAACTCCCCAATTAAAAGACACAGATTAGGAGACTGGACTGAAAACTTTCTGTTGCATTCAAGAAACACATCTATCTGAAAAGATACTCATAGACTAAAAATAAAAAAGTACAACACCAATATTTTATGTACAGGGAGCCTGAAAATAAGCAGAGGTAGCAGTTTTACTCTCACAGTAAACTTCAACCTAACAAAGAAAGTAACTACGTACTAGTTAAGGAAACAATACACCAGGAAGATATAACACTTGTAAATATGTATGCATGGAATACTGAAGATATAACACTTGTAAATATGCATGCATGGAATACTGGAGCACATATCTTCATAAAATAAACACTGCTGGGACATAAAAGATCAAATAAACACCAAAAGAATCACAGTGGCTGGCCTCAATATCAATATTCCACTTTCATAAAGAGGCAGATCAATTGAAAAAATAATAATAAAGAAATCTCAGGGCTGAACCATACTTTTGAATCAATAGACATAATAGATACCTACCATGTTCTACTCTATAACAACAGGATACACATTTTTCTCAGCAGCACATAGAGATTTCTCCAAATTAGACAATATACTACTCCACAAAGGCTGCTTAAATAAATTTAAAAAAATCTGAAATCACCCCATATTTATTATCAGACCACTATGTACTGAAACTAAAAATCACAGAAGAAACCACAAAAAATTTATAGATTTTCTGTGGAAAACCTGGAAACCTAGTAACACACTTCTGAACACACCACAATCACAGAAGAAATCAAGCAAAACAAAATTTCTGGAACCAAATGACAAGGCCAATACAACACACCAGACCAATGAGACAAAAGGAAAGAGATACTAAGATGGAAGCTTGATGCAAGCAATGTTCACATTACAAAAACACAGAAAGTTCAAATAAATAACCTAATGATGAACCTCAAGATACCTGAAAACAACAACAATCCAAACCCAAACCAAGTTTAAGGAGGGAAATCATAAAGATCAGAGCAGAAATTAATGAAATTCCAACTGAAAAATCACTAAGAAGTATCAATGAATCAAAGAGCTTGTTTTTTGAAAAACTAAAATATTTAAACCCTGAGCCAAACTTACCATAAGAGAAAAAACTCACAGAAATAAAATTAGAAATGAAAAAGGTGAAATAACAATGGATCACTGAAATCCACAAGATAATTACTATGAAAAACTGGAAAATCATAAAGAAATGGAGATTCCTATACTCACATTATCTAAACTAAACCAAGAGGATTTAAAAATTCTTACAGCCTAATCATAAGCAAGGAAACAAAAACATTAATAAAATACCTATCAATTTAAGAAAAGATTCAGATCTGATGGATTCACCGCTGAATGCTACATCCTTTAAGGATGTTATAACACCAACAATCCTCAAATTCCTCAAGGAAACTGAAAGAGAGGGAGTGCTTCTTTCTGGAAGCCAACATCACTTTGATCCCAAAATAAGACAAGAACTAACTAAAAAGGAAAACTACCAGCTAATCTCTTTCATGAACAAAGCAAAAATTCTCAGTAATATATTGACAAAGAGAATGCAATAAATCATCAAAATGATCATATATCAAGACCAAGCAGGTTTCAACCCAGATTTGCAAAGATAATTCAACATACACAAATCATTAAATGTAATATATCACACAAACAGAAGAAATTACATGATCAGATCAACCAATGCATAAAAGACTGACAAAATTCAACCCCATTCATGATTTTAAAAATCCTGAAGAAATGGCCTTACCTGACTCTGATTAAAGACATTTATGACAAACCAATGGTTAATATTATATTAAGTAGGGAAAAATTAAAAGCTTTCTCAAATCAGGATCAAACAAAGATGCCTACCATCACTTCTGTTCAATATGGTTTTTGAACATTCACCAGAGCAATCAGGTGAGAGAAATAAAAAGTATAGGAAAGAAAAATGTCAAATTATTATTATTTTCAGATGACACGATCCTCCATTTAGCAGACCCAAAAAATTCCACCAAAGGACTTTGAATTATAACCAATTACACCAATGCAGGATACAAAATAAACACGTGAAAATCAATAGTGTTCCTATACACCAATAATGAACTGAAAAAGAAATTAAGAAAACAAAAGTACTCGTATTGTATTATTCCAAGTATATTACATGCTGAAAAAGGTGAAAATATGGAGACAGTTAAAAAGATCAGTGCCTGCCAAGGGCCATAAGCGAGAAAGTAATGAATAGATGAAGCAGAGATTTTTAGCATTGACAAAACTACTCTGTGTAAGTATGAATACCTGCCACTGACTTCTGTCCAAACAAATAAAATATATAACACAAAGAGTGAACTGTAATGTAAACCACGGACTTGGGGTGAGAGTGATGTGTCAATGAAGGTTCTGTAACAAATATACTGCTCTGAGGGGGTGAAGGGAGGGCAGGGACAAGGGGAAAAGATGAGAACCAAGACTTGTCATGTAGAGGTACAAGATCCCAACAATGAATGTAACTGTACTGTATCCCTAAAATGTACCAATAAACTCAATTAAAGCTGAAAACAAAAATGAAAAAACAAAAACAAAAACAAATACACTGCTCTGGTGGGACATGCTAACACAGGGGAAGGTTACGCATGTGTGGTTGTAGGTGGTTCAAGGGAAATCTCTGTACCATCTATTCAACTGTCCCGTGTATCCGAAGCAGCTCTAAAACATAGACTATTAAAAATACTTAACGTTATCTCTACTTATAGATAATATGGCTATGCTACGAAGAAGTTTAATGAAACTAACTACTGAATAGTTGTAAAATTCCCTTTACCACTGGAATTATCTTTCAATCAAAAAAAATTAAATTTAGAGAAATATAAACAGCACCCACCTAAATGCCTAACACAAAAATACTTTCTTAGGTATATACACGATAACTCTGGAAAATAAAGGGTTTGTGGTGGGAAGAATACTGAGAATATATTGCCTCTCATACAGCAAAATGGACTGAAGAAGTTATTACAGTCAAATGGAAATTATCCTGAATTACCCACTGTCCGATCTAATTACATGATTTTTAATATGTAAAAGGACTTCTGCTGTCTGTAACAGTAATCTGCTTTGTTTAGTTCAAAATTAACAGACATCAGAGGCACTGACCATGAAGTGGGACATCAGGCCTTATCCCTAATCTTGAACACCCACTTCCTGTGTACTAAGAATAGACAGCTGGATGAATCTTGAGGTTAACTCCCTAACTACAAGGAACTGTTACATCTGGGTTAAAGTTAACTGTCTTATTATTGTAATTTGCACATGAGTAATGTGTACTGAGGAAAAGAAATGTAACCACTTGAATGAGATCACAGCTGTAAAACCTGTAAAAGACAAAGCTGCAACCCAGTATGAGGTTGATCGCTGGCACTCCCTTTTTTAGTGTGATTCGACCTTTGCTGGCAAAATAAACATTATTTTACTTCCATGCAGCTCATCTCTATGTGTGTGTCACTTGCCAATTCCGTCCACCACAGGTAATAGGTGAAGGATATTAGAGATGGCAGTATAATGGTCTAACACTCCACAATGCTTCTGAGATGTACGGAGCTACAGTGCAAGGACCAACAGAGACTTCTACAAATTAATGACAGCATTAACTAACTGGCAGCAAGGAAACATACTTAAACCACATGCAAATGCCTGAATAAGGAAATAGATCCTCCTCTAGAATGTACATAAAGGAACTCTTGCTGACACCTTGATTTTTATTCCAGTGAGACCTCTGTGTGACTTTTGCTCCAAAAACTATAACTTGTACAAGAAACTAAATATGTGGCAGACTGTTATAGCAGTAGTAAGAAATTAATTTAGCATTCCAATATTCAGTGTAGACTTAAAATTTAATCCTAATGAATTTTCCTTAATGAAAAAAACAATCTTCATTTTTCTCTGTCTACCATTCCCTGACTTCCAACAATAAGATAAAAGTTTAAAACTAATTCTGCTTTGGTTTAGATGTGGTTTCTCGTAAGAGTTCATGTATTGGAAACCTGGTCCTCAGTGTGGTGGTAGAACCTTTAAGAGTTGGAGTGTAGTGGAAAATAATGAGGTCACCAAGGACACTGCCCTTGGGGGATACAGTTAGTTTCCATGAAGAGTAATTACAAAAGAGTAAGCCAGACCCCTGCATCACTTTCTGGTATTCTGTCTCACCATGTGATCTCTTTGACATACACTCCTGCCATGATGCCATCCACCAAGAAGTTCTCACCAGAGGCCAGATAAATGGCCAGATAAATGGAGCTCCATTTGAAGTGTCGGCTTCTAAAACAATGAAATTAATTTGTCTATTTTTTAAAAACTAGAGATTCTTACCAAAGAATTCTGGACACTTTAAGCAGAACTCTTTCAAAAAGGCATTTGCCTTCAAATCAAATGTTCTAATTTCAACTTCCATGCCTGACCTTAAAACATCAATTTCTACAACAGGTAGTTCACAATCCCCTTCAAGGTGATAAAACTGAATCAAAACCTGCAGAATGAGAAAAAAGGAAGTACCATTATGTTAAACAAAAACATGTTTACACACATGGTGATTATATTTATGGCTATATGATCGATGCAAATTAAAAATTTAAGCGTAATTTTCATACCCCACCACATATATACTATTTTTTCAGAAAATATGTATATGTACAACACATCATCTAAACTCCTATTTCTTGACTAAGGAAGTTAATCTTCAAGAAATGGTATGAGAGTGAATCACAGCAAGTCTGCAATAGCCTTTAATCAGAATGAAAACAATGCCTACTAGCAATGAGACTATATAAATACAATACAAACAGCAGAAATAGCAAATGATTTCAATAACATAGTACATACCTCTTCTACTTCAAATCGTATTTTGAACTGAGTCAAATTTACCAGGCAGTCTTGCTTTTGTAACTTTCTTTGTTGAATACTTTTAACTCTAGTTGGAACCTGAGGAGGTACTTCCAGGGGACTACATGGTGCATCAAAAAATTCCTCCTCTGAGTCTAAATTTAATAGAAGATTGTTTTAAGTCGAAAATACAAAATGAATATTTAAAAATTTTAAATAAATATAAACAAAATACTAAAATACTAAAGGTCTATTTTAAAATTTAATATAAACAAGAAGTAAAATGAATTACTTTTGTACAAATAACATTCTTGATAATAGGTATAGAAAATTTTAAAATGTAATCTTCAGCTTAAAAAACTGTCCATCTTTTAAAATCATTAGTTTATTTTAAAATTATGTAAGAAAAATCTCCATTAAATAACAATACCAATGATTATCTATGCTTACTCTACCTGGAGAGTATAACAGAATTCAGATATAAACTCTGAAATATTAGCAAGAGTCGTTTTGTGTGATTTCAGGTACCCACAGATAACAACAGCCTGAAAATATTAATGAAAAACCTCTGAAATCTATAATTTAAAACAAAACAGAAAATTTTAAATTGTATGCCATTCTCAGTACCATGATGAGATTTTGTCTTACCCCTGGACATGTATTATATCTGTCAGTATACTGCAGGGGCAAAATAAGGTCCCCTTTGCTCTCCAAAAGCTTCCAGGTTTTCAGGAATAAACTAACAATAGATAACAGTAAAAAAGATACTGGGCCGGGGATTTAGCTCAGTGGTTTGGTGGCCTGCCTTGCAAGTGCAAGGCCCCGAGTTCAATTCCTGGTACCAAAAAAATAAAAGATGAAGATACTTCTAAATGTACAGAGGGAAGAACCACAAGATAGCAGTTAACAAAATAATCCAGTGAGGTCTAGATATTTATATTCCCTTCTTAATAAGAGACACAGAGATGGGAATGTGACAGTTTGAATGGCAGTAAATAATTTTAAGTAAATGAATGAGACCCATGCTCAGTAAGTACAGTAATCCTCTTTGGGAACTCAATGGGCCAACAAGATGGATAACAGCTTGTGACAAATTCTACCATGATTACATTCCTTAATCTTCCCTTCTGCACATTAGAATTTAGTTAATCAACACTCAGAAGAGATTATATAATTATGTTCTTCTTTGACAGGTCTGGTCTTTGACTAGAATCACAGAAAAGCCTCTTCCAGCATCTGCTGCTCTCCAGTGGTCTTTAATTTAAAATAATTAGCATGGCAGGGTACCACATTTGGGATGAAATCCCTAGACTCCTTCTGTATTCACAGTGCACGCACTACCTATCCATTAGTCATTTATGCACTGTTGATGTGTTTGTGTTCAGCTAACACTTAATTACTTAACAATGGCCCAAACGCCTAAGAGCAGTGGTACTTGGAGTTCAGATACACCAAATAAAAATAATAGTGAATCCTTTCAAGTGAAATGTTGCTAAAACCTACACTGAGAATGAATCTATCCATGAAACTATGAAAGAAAAAAAAAACACCTCATATTTTGGTATCATACCACACACTACAAACATTATAGACACAATGTAAGATAGTGCTTAGTTAAAGCAAAAATTTCAATGAATTTTATCACAGGGAAATATTCAGAGGAAAGAACACAGGATTAATAATGTTGGGTACTATGGAAATTTCAGGTATTCGCTTAGAACATACTCTCCATGGATAAAGGAGGCAACTATAAAATGAAATACCACTCTGTATTTCCAAAACGTATATTAAAAAGGATAGAAAAATGGAAAAGCAGTCCAGTTAACCAGTCTAGAAACCACTTAAACCATTAAAAATAGATTAAAGGAAACTAAAATAAATCAAGTATAGCGACAATAACCTTAAAAACAATATCTCCTGTCACAAAAGAAAACCATCCTAGAAAGTGAGACCAACACAGCACTCTGTTAAGCTTCTAAGTCTTAAAAATACAGACATATTTTTCTTTCTTGCCAATGTAGCCACATAAACAAACCAGATGTCCAATATCAGAATATTTGTAAGTTTTAAAAATGTGAATGTAGGCATTAACACAATTTATCCCTTTGGTAAAGAAGACTGCATATTTTGGAAGTTTTACTATAGCAAAATTCTCCAAATAACTAAATGCCTCATTATAAATTAGACTTCTACAAAGTTACATTTTTTTTTTTTTAGCTCTGAGCTCATAAATTCTATTAAAGGAATTTTAGTTAAAATGACATGATAATATACAAATATATACTACTCTCTGAAATTTTTCAAATGACTGTAGGAGACCAGACTATGCCAGGTCAAATCATGTCTTTTTAGCATACAGATTATACTGGGTTGATTATTTTGAGAGACTGCATTCACAAAAGAAGCTCTAAAGACAGAATATATGTTTCTCTTTGGAAAGGATATTAAAATTTATAAGGAAAATTTATGTACCTTTGTAAAGATGTCACCCTCGGTTTACCAGGAAATGACTCTAACCCCATAACATTCTTATCAAAGGAGATGGTGGGGACTTTATACTACATAACCTTAACTTTGTTTCTGCTACTTTCCCTGGTTACTTTCCCCCTAAAGTATTTGCCCTGCATGTAGACGCTCCAAACTCCTTTTTCTTTGTTTAACCCAAAGAAGAAAAGAAATCCAAGTTTGTTTTGAGTTATTCATCTGAGTACCTTATATGAAATATAAATGTTAATAAAATTGATTGCTCATTAATCTTTTGTTGACAGAGAATCCAGAGGCTAAAAGGAAAAGATATTTCTCCTCTACATGGTCATCTGAAGAAAATATGCCTCAAAATGTTAAGTTATTTGTATTATATACATAGAGTAAGAAAAATTTCCTTAAGTATGTGCATTTTACCATCTTCAGAAATAGATGGACGTTCCAAAAGGGGAATTATTTTCTGTGATATCTGTGATGTTCCCAAAGAAGATGTTTGAATCTGCAAGAAAAATAATTCATTGTCAATTTTAAAAAAGACTTCTAGTCAAAGTTGTTAAAACAATTTTGACAAAAAGTTGCTCACTCTGAAGTTTTTCGAAGAAATTAGTACTAAGAAGAGTAAACTGTAATATGCTGATTTAAAGAAATGTTTTTTTGTTATTTTAAAGCTAAATATAAAGTGTAAAACCGTTTTAATAATTTTCCTGATGAAGTGAACATAGTACTAAATCTTAGATATATTGTAACTTAACATTTTACTAAACAAGGAAATCACCAGTACTAAATCTTAGATATACTGTAACTTAACATTTTACTAAACAAGGAAATCACCTGCAGACATCCATGAGGAATCACAAATTTATGAAGATATTTCAATAAATTAACTTTTTTATTGTTTTGAGAAACATATAAAAACAGATGATGCAGATGAAAGAAAAACACCACTGGAACTTCCGCCCAGACCAAGAAACAAAACAGGACCATAACCTTCCTAGAAGAACCTTACATGCTCCTCCTTGATTATATTCTTTACCACTGATCATGATTTTGCTTTCATTCAATTGTTTGTATTTAAGCACCTATAAATTATTCTCTAATGAAGTTAAATTTGCCTGTAGAATTCCCAATTCTTGTGGTCAACAAATTTCTGTTCAACAAAATTATCAAACTATTTCTGAAAAGAGGTTAACCATTTTTTGAGTTATAGTAGCAGTGTATCATAGGGTTTTTGTGTGTCTTTCCTCTTTTCTTTCATTTTCCAGATAGCATTAAATTCTTATCATGTCAGTACTCTGACAGGGTGTTCTTATTCTTTCTATTTTTAGTTTTTATAGTCACTGTTTAGTGGTATTTCAATAGAGATTTACTTTCTTGGTAAGTAATAATGTTGAGCATCTTTTCATGCTATCTGAAATTTAATTTTAAGTCCAATTTTACTTTTATGCTTTATTTGTTCCTTTATATTGTAAGATAGCTTTACCTAAAGAAAGAACTCAGTTAAATGTGGTTATTTAGAGGGAAATGTTTTATCTTACTCATAAAGAAATGCATTCGAAACCAGAAGATATTTTCTCAGAATAAACATTAACAATTGTTAATATTTAAACTAATGAAAGCAAGGAAAAAGGCAGTCATTTACTGTTAATAGTCTATAATAGCAATACTCAGTTTAAAAGGGAAATTTGGCAAAATTCTATCAAAATTTAAAATTATACCTTTTTAAAATCAACGACTCTACTACTTCTAAGAATTTCTTCTATGGATAAAAGTATAACCAAACACATGTATACGAAAGTTCAAGATGGCATTTTTGATAATTGTAAATAATTATACTACTATGGATGTCCAACAAAAGGGAATATATTTTTAAAGACAATACAACCACACAATACAATACTACATAATCATGAAAGAGAGTTAGGTATATCTGTATGTGCTAACATGAAAATACAGTGGTATCTCAGTTCACAAATTTAAATCTGTTCCACCATTCTGGAAAAGATGGCTATTTTGGTGTTCATGTGGTAAAGATGCAGTCGTGTGTGTCACCTGATACAGATTTTATAAACACAAACAAAATTTTGCCAAATGCTTCTGTTTGTGAGCCAATTTATTTGTAAACTAAAGCATTCGTGAACCAACGTACCACTGTTATCTCTGAGGTATATATAGCATATATGACAGTAATGGTGAAAAGAACAGATTCAGAATAATAAGTATAAAGAATACACATACACGTGTGCAACAGCATATGCCATAAAATTTTTCTGAAAAACGAGAGGAGTATGGTTAACATTAAAAAGAGACTGGAAGTTGCAGAAGAAAGAACAGATAAGAGTTAATTTTATATTTTTCTTAAATATTTGTACTATTTCTCTTTTGTACAGAATTTCCAACAATTTCTCTTTTATAGTCTGCTAAAATTATTGTAAATAATTTTATCTGAGGGTCCTATGATTGTTTCAGATATTATTTGTGAAGTTTCTCTTTTAATTTTATCAATTTTGAAAAGAACAATACCTGAAATGATTTGACAGGTGCAGATACATCAGTTACAGGTTTAGGTTTTGGAATGCTTTCAACCAATTCCATAATCCCTTGCAGTTTCTTATCTGAGACGTGTATGGAAACAAGAGGTAGCTTTCCAGAAATCTTGAATCTGTTTTTAAAATACATGTATCATTACAGAGGAACTTTCACTATGATTTAAGTGTCCTAACTAAAAAAACTATACTTCTTAATGCTAAAAATCATTACTCTAATTTCTATCTTACCCATGGTCTCTCTACTGTTTTCTAAGTACAGATGACATTAGTATTTATCAGTGTTTATTACATGATGGACAATGAAAATACTTTAAATGCATTATTCTAAGTAGTTCTCATAGCCAATGAAACACACAACCTAGCTGCTCCCTATTGCTTATGAGTTCTCATATATACAGAATTCATATAAGGAAACTAAGAGATAGCATGGTTAACTAACTTGTCCAAGTGATTGGATTCCAAAACCATGACTTAATACTAGACCTAAGTATTTTATTACTCTTTTAATTGCTTTGGTAGTTTCCTTTGCTTATATTTAGCTCAAACTTCAAGGGAAGTGACACAGTCAAGATGTCACCACAGGGACAGAAGACAAATTTGTTGGCCCTTAACCTTTTACTCATTAAAAGCACGATTTGTTTCCTTCAGAGGCTCTGAGAGATTTAAAAGCAGTTTTTTAAAAAACAAACCAAAACAAAAAAATCTTCTACATTTGAACCCACATATGCCCAGTAGGTGACTAAAAGCAGAATAAAGCTTGCCCTTCATCTTGTAACCTTTATTACTTTAAAAGTTTCATTCAGATCCCTGCTCAGCTCTGAACATGTTTGTTAATCATTCAAGTGTCTGTATTACAAGGTTAGTTAGCTCTAAACTTACCTAGCATGTGCCACACCCTCTTTAAGACTAAGGACAGCAACAGTAATTAAAATAATTTTCTGGATTTTCAAGAATAAATAGTTGCCAGTTTTTACAATGTCTAGTTCTAGATCCTGTAGAATGATACCCAGAAATTTCCAGTCATTATTTTACCCCTGCAGTTCCCTCAGATTCGGGAAAAAGCACCTCACAGTCTACCCCATGATGACGTCACCTCCCAAGTGGGTGTAATTATGTAAAGCAGAAATCAAATGTTTCTTCCCACTGCCAAGCATCTCATGAGAACTAACTGCCCCTCTAGCCATAAAGATTTCTCTGGAGCTATAAAACCAGATATCAGATAATGACCAACCGCACTCCACCATCTCCAGCAGATTCATAAAGGCTGACCTCATTCTTTTATGAATGTACTGTTTGAACCTCTTCACCACAGTATGTCCAGTTCACCTCCTCAAGCTCAATCTCCTTTCTCTATTTTCTCTCATTTCAAACTCTGCCTAATCAATCTTCCTATGCCTTTATACTTTTCTTAAATATATGTACTGTTTACCATTTCATCAATATCTGTTCAAATGCCTGTAAATTATTTTATGATTTAAAACAATAAAGCAAATGCATAAAAGTAACTATAAATCTATGATAATGGGTACAAAATAAATAAAGATTTAAACTGCAACATTAATAACTACGGGAGGTGGAATGGGAAACTAGTAGACTTTTTTGGATACAAGTTAGCAATTTTAGGCAGACTATAGTAACTTTAGAATATGTAGTACTATAGTAACCACAACAAACTATAAAATATACAAATATGGAAATGAAAAAGAACTCAAAAGATGACACAAAATCTACTAAATATAAAAAAAGACTAAGAAAATGGAGAGACAAAACAAGCTTACAGAAAGAAAATAAACTGAGGCAGGACTGCTGCAAGTTCAAGGCCAGCCTGGGGTCAATCTAAACTACATAGCAAGACTGTCTCAAAAAACAAAACAAAAAAAGCAAAGAAACTGACAAAAATAAGTCCTTTCCTATCAGTATTTACTTTAAATGTAAATATTAAACTTTCCAATCGAAAGACATAAATTAAGATGGATAAGGCAAAAGGATGCACTACATGCTATCTACAAGAGAGTCACTTTAAAAGAAAACAGATCAAAAATAAAAGAACGCAAAAAGATACTGCATATAAATAATCAAATATAACCACAGACTGTTATATTCAGTCAAAATAAATTACAAGTCAAGGACAAAGAACATCATTACATAACGAAATGACGAGACCCAACAATAACATGTAACCAGATTATATGCATCAAGTGACAGAGCTCAAAAATACATGTATCAAAAACTGACAGCATTAGGGGAAAATACAGGTAGCTCTCTGATAGGAGACTGTATTAATGGGCACAATTTTCACTAAGGGGCACAACTAGAGAATATATTAATTTTAAAAAAAAAGGACTAGAACAATACAATTGAACATTGAAGGATTTTGTGTTGCAAAGTAATCTAGATGAAAAAGGACAATGCTGTATGATTCCATTTGCATGCGGTACCTAAAATTGCCATAAATTCATAAAAATGAAACAGAATGGATGTTGTTGGGGGTTGTGTGCAGAGTAGAATGGATCATTATTTAATGAATACCAAGTTTCAGTTAGGAAGATGATGAAGTTCTAGAGGTGGACAGTCATGAGTTTGCACAATAATGTGAATGTACTTAATGTCAAAAAATTATGCTCTAGAGCTTAAATATAAATCATAGTTTATGTTATGTATATTTTACCACAAAAAAATCAGTGAAATATTATTATTTATTTAGCTATAAAATTATTGAGAAACTGCAGAATTACATGAGAGAGATCATACATACTTGGGCATCTTAATATCCATGAAAACCATTGCCTTAGAGAGTTCCACATTGACATGCATGGGTACCAAAATATGCTGTGTAGATACATTAAGTTTTCGTGCCTCTTTCCAATTCTCACCTAATTACAGAAAATAGTACATATTTAATATTGGCATAAATGAGTAACATACAAATCATACAATTATTAATACTTCATATTCACAAACCAAATGATATGGGAAATCATTTCACATCTACATAATCTTAATTATCTAAAATATACACAGTAAGCAAGTAAAATGTTTTTTCTTTCATCATTTCTCTTTAGTTGCTTCACAAGATTCTCTATGTTCTATTATAAAAAAGGTTTGAATGCCAGGTATGGTGGCACACGCCTGTAATCCCAGCACTTGAGAGGCTGAGGCAAGAGGATCAAACTACAGATCCAGACCCTATCTCAAAAAAAAACAAACAAAAACCCCCAACAACAACATAACAGCCCATTCAAATACAAAAATATTTATTATGTAAAAAGTAATACAGTTTTAACCAAATTTGTGCACAGACTGGAAATCAGTAAAACAACCAGATAGCTTACCCTAAAAAACAAAAAACAGCATGAGTGTAAAGGCAATAATGGAAAAGGCAGGAAAAAAATTGAGCTTAATAGTAACTTGTTGTGGTACATGGCACCATTTTTTTTATTAGCATCTTAGTCATCATCTGGAAAGAGAGGCTTCTAGAGGAACATAATTAACAATAGCTCTGATAAAGCACGGTCACTACTACGTATCAAAAAGCAGGTACAAGATATTTTACATTCACAGAGGTATGACACAGTACTGTCCTACATCTATAATACTATAACTGTGCTGTTTTCTGGATATTATTCTTTTCTTTGTTTTTTTGTTTTTGTTTTTTTAATGGAATGTGCTGAATGTCTATAATTTTGTTCAGATGACTGCAGAACCTGGAAAAGCTGTTGCAACTGTGCTGTCAACTTTGGAAAAAGTTATCCCAATTTACTGTGTTGAGTTGGCATTGTACAGAAATTAACAGCCATATTGGTCTAGAAATGTAAATTTGTTTTTCCATTTGTACAGGGGTAATGCACTGTATTAAATATGTAAAGTCTTATCTACGTGGGTTTGATTACAGAAAATAATAAAGTATTCTCTAAATAATGAAAAAAAGAATAATATAAGACTACAAGAGCAAGAAGCAATTTAACATGTTCAGGGACCATTTTCATCTTCAGAATTAAGGATTATTTTAATTTTACATCACTGCCTTTTCTCTTTTAGTTTCCTTTTTAGTTTTATTTTAGAATTCCCTATTTTTAATGTTCATACAGAGATTTAACAGAAAAACTGAATAGTTTGTCTGGTGTGAAAAACTATAATAGTACACAAGATCCTAATGAGATAATTAATAATGTGAAATAGGAAGTAAAGAGCTAAAGGTGTAGGGAAAAGTAGGAAGGGTGGAGGAAAGGTAATAAGGGAGAGGAAAAAATATGGGAAAATGAAAAAATGGAAATAAAGTGTTTGTAAATGGGGAGGGAAGGAGGGGGTGAAGGGAAGGCAGGGACAAGGGGAAAAAATGAGAATCATGACCTATCATGTAAAGGTACAAGATCCCAATAATGAATGTAACTGTATTATATACCTAGATTGTACCAATAAACTCAATAAAAAGAAAAAAAAATAGTAACTTGTACATGGTACCACTTTATTCAATATTTATAAGTAGCACTATTTTACAAAAGGTTTAAACTTTCTCACAACAATTAATAATCATTCCTTTTAGAAAACTGAGGCTGTCAGAATTTAGAACTTTCCTACTGTCAACATACTAGTGATAAAGCTACAATTCACATCCACGTCTATGAATTATGATCCTCTGGCAACTCTTACTGCAGTGTTACAAGCCTATATGGTCAGTGAGGGAAATGATTGATAAATAACTTACAGCACAGCCTTAGAATATAACAAAAAAAAATCACAGAGTCAAGTGCCCAAAATATTACTGGCGAAGAGAGAAATTTAGGAACTATATAAATTATGTTAAAAAGTCCATTCACAAATACCTCCATACATAAACATCACACAAGCATACTCCACACCCACAGGTACATAAACAATACAACACTAAAAGAACACATAACAAAATAGCAATAGTGTTTATGTCTAAGCAGTAAGATAAAGGATAATACTTATTTGATTTATTTAGTTTTTGGTTTTTTTGAGACAGGTAACAAAATAGAAATAGTGTTTATGTCTAAGCAGTAAGATAAAGGATAATACTTATTTTATTTATTTAGTTTTTGGTTTTTTTGAGACAGGTAACAAAATAGAAATAGTGTTTATGTCTAAGCAGTACGATAAAGGATAATACTTATTTTATTTATTTAGTTTTTGGTTTTTTTGAGACAGGGTCTCACTATGTAGTGAGACTGACCTGGAACTCACTATTGTAGCCCAGGCTGGTCTCAAACTCACAGTGATCCTCCTGCCTCAGCTTCCCGAGTGCTGGAATTACAGGTGTGCGCCACCACGCCCAGCTATACTTATTTTTTTAATTGTGCAGATTTTCTAAAATAGGCATATTTATAATTGCAAAAAAGTAACATTAAACATCTGTAACAAGATTAGAGCATTTCCCTAGCATGAACAGGGCCCAGGGTTCAATCCCCAGAATCAGGTAAAAAAGAAAACCAATCACACACTCACCCAAGATTCATGGTGTCTATATAGTACAATGCACTTTAACATACACTATCTCATTTCAAATGTCAAATGACTCTTAAGTCACCAAAAATTCCAGTCTTAGAAAACCAAGGAAACATTAGATTCTTAGTTATAGTGGTAAAATTGGCTTTATAATAATTTTTTTTCAAATTCATTTACTTCATTGCCCATTTTATAGATAAAAACATATATATATATATATATATATGAGAGAGAGACAGAGAGAGAGAGAGAGAGAGGGAGATGCATGTGTTTTGGTATTTATCAAGATTTTATGACAAAAATATAAAGTAACCAAAATGACAAAAAACCCTGCTCAAAAAAGGACTCAATTATTTAAGAACAGTAATGTTTATCAAATAATCTTCAGACAATAAAATATTTTTAAATATTTAACAAAGAAGTACAGCTCACAGACTTGTGGCTAAATGTATCAGTCAAACATACTAAAATGCCCTAATTATTCCCTAAAAAAGAATTTATGGACTTAAGCAAATATAATTAGAAGAAAGGAAAATGATCTTGTCCTATATAAACTAATAGGTTTTGTTTTTTTTTTTTTTTGGTTCTGGGGACTGAACTCAGGACCTTATGCTTGTGAGGCTGGCAGCGAAACTACTGAGACAAATCCCCGGCCCTAAACTAACAATTTTAACAATGATTACTTTGGCCTCTCAATGCTTCTCCTTTTATCAGTTAGCTCACCATGAATGACAGAAATGGTTCACCAACACTACAGGGATTTGGGGCAATATGGCAGAATGGAAACAGGGCTGAATGAATCTGAATTCTCCTATTTAGTTAGTGCTCTTCTCAGTTGAATTTGTGGCTCTGCTTCATTTAAAAATCTAGAACTGGATCAGAGATGTTTGACTGGTACACCACAGACGTTGGAATAAAGGAATTTCTAAAACAGTGACTGTCCTCAGGCTGTGTGTGGCTACCCGTGCCATGATTTGTTAGAACCTGTAGATTGTTTGCCTCTGGCACTGAGAAGCTGCTTCTAGTTATCTAATCATGTAATACAAATATCATGTGCAGTATGTGCCAATTTTTAGTTTAAGGTTAGAAAATATTGGTACAGATCAGGATATTCAACTTTACCTCTGTTGACACTTTTTAGGGGGAGCTAACCTATCTACTACACTTTTTAGGATGTTTAGTAACATCCTTGACTTTCACCTACTGTATTATAGTAGTGCCCCTGACCAATACCTGAAATATATCTCCAGACATTGACAAATGTCTCTTGGGGGTCAAACTCACTCCTGGTTGACAATCATTAGGCAATATTTACTATCATGTTTGATTTAAAAATATTAAAAGTTCAAATCTATGTATGAAGGACTTTAGAAAATGTCTAAAAACCTAATTAATCACCTCAGCAAAATCAATAGCTCCTTTTATACATACCCACTCGACTATAAAGCAGTTGTATGCTTGTAAGCTGAACATCAAAGGAATCATAAGCTCTACGCCTTATCTCTTCAAGATCGGCTCCACCTTGTTTCATACCTGGTAACTCCAAACGACTTTTACTTGTCACCTAGAAGTTAATTGTAATAGTTTAGATTATGCAAAATACTTCAAAATGTAAGTATTGTATAAAGTTTTTAGTCGTTCAGACCTATAATATTAAATTTTAATTGGAGAGAATAAACTCATAAGCAGACATATTGTATAAAGCAATTAAGAAAAGTCATTAACCACGAGAGGTATAATGAGTATACATCTAAAAGAATTTTTACATATTAAATTATAATTTCCATTTCTTTATATTAAAGGGTAGAAACCAAGATGGTCCTGGAAAAATAACACATCTTAATAAAGAATTAAAATCTAGTTAAGTTTTCCCATTAAGAACAAGAGCAAGAGACAAATTTACCCTAAAAATATTCCTACAGTATAATAACAAAGATAGTTGGATAGCTTCATAGCTTGATAATAAGTAAAAGAGCCAAGGATTTAATATTATAATAGCTGAATTTTAGCCCAACTCTGCCATTTATGTGATTCCAGACATGTTATGTTCGTATTTTCCCCTTTTGGCATACACACTCCATAGCAGAACCTGAAGATCTTAGTCATATACATACTTATGAAACATTTTATATACCTCATGTGAAGCAGACACTCAAAAATGATTATTTATCTGAAAGGTAATGAATTTTAGATAACTAGTTAAGAAAATCACTGAATGTCACAAAAATTCCATAGATACCCTGACCTTATGTTTCTCCTACTATACCATACTGCCCCTGAAACAATTCAATAACTAATTTCAACTATGAAGTTATATAAATTTTATAATAAATATAAAGCCAACTGCTCTATGTTAGTATCAAGTATAGAGTAACAAGAAAGAGAGAAGAACAAAGGAAAGAAATAAAAGGGAAGCAATATTAAGAAAAGGCAGATAATATGTATTAGGTAGTCAGAAAAATCCTTCTATTATATTATTATTCATCGCCCTTGGACCTTTAAATTGTTCTGAGTATTCTACATATAATGATTTAGAGTAGTGCTGTCCAATAGAACGTTTATGATGAGGGAAATACTGTGAATCTGCGCTGTCCAATAGACTACCCACTACAATTTCTGACTATTAAACTCTCTTAGTTATGTTAGCTAAAGAACAGAAGTTTTGCCAGGCGTGGTGGTGCACAAATGTAATCCCAGTGCTAGGGAGGCTGAGGCAGGAGGATCGCTGTGAGTTCGAGACCAGCCTGGGCTACATAGTGAGTTCCAGGTCAATCTCAACTACATAGTGAGACCCTGTCTCAAAAAAACAAAAAACAAAATAAGAACTGAAGTTTTATTTTTACTTAATTTTAACTAATCACATGTGGCTAATGGGTTATCTTACTGAAGGTAACAGATCCACAAATACAAATTATTCTCCACTTAAAATTTGGGAAAGAAAAAAGTTCATAATTGAAAGAAAAAGGAAATAACTTAGGTAAATCAAAACAAACAATCCATAAGAATCCATTAATTTAAAATAATAAAAATGTTAAAATGTCAATATCTAAAATATAAAAATATATATACAAAAATCTCAGAAGGATTTTAATTTTCAGAACTGTATTTTATGTACTTCAATTAATCAAGTAAAAGATTTAAACTGAAAAAGAAATAAAACACAGCACTCAATTGCTACAAAAATAATTAAGTTTACTCCAGATCTAGATTATTTAAGTTTTAGAAATTGAGTGAAAGAAAAAGCAACCTAATTAAATGAAACTTCACTTTACACACCAGAAAGGAAGATTTCTCAAATATAAGTATTTACCATAAATCTAAAACTCAATAAGCCATATCAAACTTTCTAGAAGCCAAAGTAACTTTTTAAAGAAACATCCTAAATATCACATTATAAATTACATATTGTTAGTATATACCTTTAGATGACCAAGATCCAAAAGAAGTAGATTTGATGTAGGGCTGAAAACTCCATCTTGTGGGACAATAATATATGAAGCCTTCAAATTAATTCTGAGATCAAGAACTTTCTGTGTTTCAATAATATACAGAAGACCTATAGAAAATTTAAATCTTCACAAATTACTAAATAGGAAACTGCTGAATAAATTAATAGATCTTAGAAGAATGTGAAATTAGTATTAATTTAAAATCAAGTACCAATTTTAAAATAATCATGACCAATGTATTTCCAATATAAATTTAAATATTTGTTGATGTCTAACATTTTACCCTCCACACACATTAGAACAAGTTCAGCTTTCTACAACTTCCAAATTGACTACATTATTTCTCCAGTTAAGACTCTTCAAAATTGACCAGTTTCTCAAATTTATTTATTTTCCTCAGGATCATATGCATTTTATTATTATATTTAAAACTATCCTTTAAGAAAAAATATCACTGGGCTTCAAACAGCCACAAGTGTTCATAATACAAAAAAGGTATTAAGAATCTTTCAGCAGTTAAATGAATTCACTGTCAGTTGATAATAAATATTATTATCCAGAAATGAAAGACATCTATCTAATGCCTCAAATTCAAGACACAAATATAAAACAAAAGATGAATACTGACCAATTTAATAAGATGAATGTTAAAAGAGGTTTTCAACTTGCACAAAAACATTTAACTAGACTTTCAAATACTAGTAATATGGATGCACAGATAGCCAAACTGAACTCGAGTAATAACAACAAAAACTTCTGGAAATAAAACAAATGACAATTAAAAAAAAATCCTACAATGTGGGAAAAAATTTTTACCAACTGCTTCTCAGGCAAAGGGCTATTATCTAGAATATATAAAGAACTCAAAACAATCAGCCTCCCCAAATATAAAGACCTCATTGAAAAATGGGCATCTGAAATGAACAGACATTTCTCAAACAAAGAAGTAAAAGCAGCAAGTAAATATATGAAAAAATGTTCCACATCACTGGCCATTCAAGAGATGCAGATGAAAACAACACTGAGATTCCACCTCACCCCATAAAGAATGGCTGCTATCAAGAAATCAACCAGTAACAAGTGTTGGTGCAGTTGTGGGGAGAAAGGAATCCTTCTCCATTGTTGGTGGGAGTGCAGACTGGTGAAACCACTATGGAAATCAGTATGGAGATACCTCAAAGAACTAGGACTAGAGGTTCCTTTTGATCCAGCCATCCCTCTGCTGGGTATCTTTCCAAAAGAATTAGAAGAATCATATCACAGTGATATATACGCACCCATGTTCATAGTGGCACAGTTTGTAATAGCTAAACTTGGAAACAGCCCATTTGCCCATCAGTTGGAGACTGGATAAAGAAGATGTGGTTTTTCTATAAAATGGAATACTACTCAGCCATAAAGAATGAGAAATTAGAGTCACTCATAGGAAAGTGGATACATATTGAGGATATACTCCTAAGCGAAATAAATTAAGTCACACATGTGTAAATACTGAATAGTTTCTCTGGTGTGACAAAGTATAATAGTACATAACATCCTAATGATATAACTGACAATGTGAAATAGGAAGAAAAGGACTAAAAGTGTAGGGAGAGTGGGAAGGGTAGGGGAAACGTGAGAAGAGAAAAGAAAAAAAAATGAGATGATGAAAAAAATGGAAAAAAAGTGTTTGTAAATGGGGAGGGGAGGAAGGGGTGAAGAAAGGGGAGGGACAAGGGGAAAAAATGAGAACCAAGACCTGTCATGTAAAGGTACAAGATCCCAATGATAAATGTAACTGTACTGTATCCCTAAAATGTACCAATAAACTCAATGAAAAAAAAAACCTACCTGAAAAACTCAGACTGGCAAGATAGTATAAGTCAAAAAATCAAGTTAAAGTTGTAAGCTAACAGATTCAAACTGAGCCTAAAAAATTTTCCTCCTGAGACCATTTTCTATACCTGGTAAACTAGAGAATTCCTTTTCACAGCTTTTCAGAACAGAGGACATAGGACAAAGATAAGGAATCTAAGAGAGGTGCTTTCCTTACAAATCTGAGCTCACAAAGGATACCTTTGAAAGTAAGGGGAGTTCAAAGTTAAGCCTTCTTCTTGAAACATACCCAACGGGAAATGCAAAGAAAAGATCTGAGGAAAATTAGGAGAAAGATGTAATAACCCTGTGAATTATAACCACAGTATAGTCTTTATGTAAATATGCAGCCCAACAATTCCTTCACAGTCCAGAATATTGCAAGCAATGGATTTACTTAAAGGCTGCCACCAACTTGCCCAGGATACCTTGCAGAAGAAAATTTTCTACCAAAACGAACAACACATAATTTAAAATTACTAAGCATAAAGGACAAAACCAGGCTCAGTGGTAAAAACCTGCAGTCCTAGCACTGTGGGAGACTGAAACAGGAGGATTCCAAACTCAGCTGCAGCCTAGGCTACTTAGTTGGACCCTGTCTCAAGATAAAATAAAAAATAAAGATCTGGAGATAGACCTCAGTGTAAAGACCCTAAGTTCAATCCCCATTCTGGCAGAGTGTATAAATTTATTACAAATAAGAGCTATCAGAAACAAAAGACAGAAGAAATAAAAACTACAAAAAGTCATGAAATCATGAAACCATCTAAAGAAGTAATTGTCTGATAAAACAATATAAAATATTATATTTATGATGTAGGAAGAAACAGAAGACAACTTTAAATATCCACAGGAAATAAAATTTTAAAAAAAATGACAATCAAATTTTAAATATAACAAAGCGAATTTCCCAAAATGAAAGGTATAATCGCTGAAATTAAACCTGATATAAGGTTTAAATAGCATATTAAACATAATTAAAGAAAATATTTAATAAACTAGAAGGTAAATTAGCAGCAATTACACATCTTATAACATAGGGAAAAAATACATACAAAGAAGCAAGCAGGATACCGAAGTGTAGGGGAAATAGAAGACATAGGAAGAAAGGCTAAAATACATTTTTTCAGAAAAAGAGAAGAATAAAAATATTTAAAGACCTACTGCCTAAGAATTTTTCAAACAGATTTTTTTATAGAATTCATTAAAGGTACCAGTACTCAGATACTCAGAGTTAGGAAACTCAATGAATCTCAACAGCAAAACACACACACACACACACACACACACACACACATTCATTACCAAAGCTAAAATATAACATACTGGAACTACACAAAACAAAATGTAAGATTTTAAATGTAAAACATAAAAGACAATCTATAAGAAAGCATCAAATACACTGGTACCTAGATACGAAAAAGCATGGAAACCAACACATAGCAGACTGGCCCCTTTTGTGTTTTTTAAAAAATACCTTTCAACCTTTAATTCTATGTTCAAATAAAATATATGTTAAAACTGAGGGGAAAATTTTTACCAAAAAAACTCTATAAAAAGAAAAAATTATAGTATGGTATACCTAAAAATACACACAATCAACTTTATAGAGATAAAAAATATGGTTCAGTTCCATGTCCATGTAATTAGATATAACAGTTTCAAAATTTACTAAGAAATATGACAGACCTAGAAGAAAAAAATATACATTCATCCTGAGGCGTTTTTCACTTATCTCTCTAAATAATTGTTAGAATAAGGTGACAAAAGGAAGAAAGAAATAGAGACACAGATTTGAATTACTATATATGATTAACAAACACATCCTAAGAAGTATGTATACTTTTTAAACAGGTTTTTCAGTATATGTGGAACATTTTCTAAAAACACCATATATGGAGTAAAAGTCCCAACAAATTACAAAACAATAAAATCATCTCTATAGTGAAGAATCTATTTTAAAAAACTGAATATGAACTTTTAAATCTTCCCACACAGAAATCTACAGGGCCAAATGGTTTTATTATTAAGCTCTGCCAACTAATTCAGGAAGAAATAACACCCAAGCTACTTATTCTTCTAGAGAAACAAAAAGGATACAACTTTTATATTCTGAGCTCAACATATCAAACTCTGTAATTTCTTATAATAGAAAAGGACAAGCCTGTTATGGTCACAAAGAGATGTCCAAAAATCCTATACAAAATTCTGCAGTGGTTCTTAAGAACTTCTTGTATTTAAAAAGTGATTGTTACACCTGCCTTTAAACAACTAAGAACTTACCATATTATTTTTACATAAAACTGTATTAGTCAAATATCATTTTTATATATGGCAACATTTAATATGGGGTATAGATTTAATATGCCAACATGAACTTACCTGTTGCTGTCTTGTCTCGAAATTCTTCAAGTTTTGTCAAAGTTGCTGAAGTGAGCTGTGCTAGATGTACCTCTTTAGGAGGTCTGAAGAATTCCACTATACTATTCACTGTCCTCTGTTAAAATAAGCATCATTAACATAAAGCACGAACTCAAAATGAACAGTATTAAAATTTGGTAATACAGAAAATGCTTACTGCATCATATATTATTTCTAAAGGTTCAGCTTCTATGATACACCTCTGAGCAACAGTTTCATCTAGTGGATTTATCTCAAATATAATTTGGAAGAGTGACATATCATCCAAAGAAGTCAGGAGGTGAGGCTTTTTAAAATTATCTGGTAAGCCAGTAATATGAAATGAATCAATTTTGGTTTCAAATCTGTATAAAAAAAATAGGAAAGAAAATTACAAATCAATACAATTTAAAAATTTTTTTCTAAACCAAAACAACAAAAATTAGTGAAAACTTCACTTTGATTCCCTAAACCCCATAAAAAAAACCCTTTCACTCCATAAAAGAAAATAACCAATGTTGCTCTGAACCGACATAAATTATTTCACAAAAAATTTACATGTTGATTACTATTTTTTAAAAAAGCTCTAAGTTACTAGTGTACTTACTGATAATATTCGAAAATAAGAGGATATTCCTAAAATTATTAATCAAGACAAAACTGAAAAGTCATGATACAATTGTATAATAACTTCCTCTCCTAAAAGCAAAAATAAGTAATTAAAAATCAAGCACCAGGCAGCAATTCTGGATTGGCTGTGTGAGAAGCTCAGTGATCATTTTTTCCAGAGAATTAACAATGAAACAAATAATGAGACATTTAGTTTCTGGAAATAAGCCTAAGGGCACATTGAAAACAGAAAAACTGATGTATCCTGCAAAACTCACTTTCAAAATGGATGGGGAGGGGCCAGGGAATTTAGCTCAGTGGTTTAGTGGCCTGCCTTGCAAGCACAAGGACCCGAGTTCAATCCCCGGTACAAAAATAAATAAATAAATAAAAGGATGGGGAAATAAGATACTTCCATGATAAAGAACACCTGAGAAACTTCATGAACACCAAACCAGCACTGCAAGGAATTCTAAACAATATCCTAGAAAAAGACAATGAAGGTCACAACACCATGAGGCCCAACAGACCAAGTCAAATAGGCAAGGCAAGAAACTAAAAGGAGAGGGGGGAAAAAGTAAAAAGAGTTAACAAAAGGACAATAACATGACAATAATAAGTCAGTACATATCAGTTAAAACCATGAATGTCAATGGCCTCAATTCACCAACCAAGAGAAACAGACTGGCAGAAAGGATTAAGAAGCAAAATGCAACAATATGTTCTATACAAGAAATGCACCTAGTGCAAAAAGAAGCCCATACACTGAAAGTGAAAGGATAGAAAACAATCCTTCACGTGACAGGAGCCCAGAAAAAAGCAGGGGTAGCAAGCAATCTTATTTGGAGACAAAGTAAATTGCAAACAAAAACTGATTAAGAGAGACAAAGAAGGCCACTACATCCTTGTAAAGGGAACAATTCAACAGGAAGAGATGACAATCAAACATATATGCATATTAATATAAATATTAATGCCCACAACTATATAAAATAAATATTAATTAACATGAAAAACCAAATAAGCACTAACACAATTGTAGTGGGGGATCTAAATACCCCACTATCACAAATAGTTTATCTAGGCAAAAAAATCAACAATGAAATACTAGAACTGAACCAAGCGTTTGAACATATGGACTTAATAGACGTCTGTAGTGTTTCACCCCACAAAATCAGAAAATACATTCTTTTTGGCTGCACATGACTCATTCTCCAAGATAGACCACATATTACCTCACAGAACAGCTTTAAATAAAAGCAAAGGAATCGAAGTTATCCCCTGTGTATTATCAGATCGTAGTGCAATCAAGCTGGAGATCAATAGCATAAAAAACCGTAGGAACCTCACAAACACATGGAAATTGAACAACACTCTCAGGAACAATCAATGGGTCACAGAGGAAATTAGACATTTTTTACAAATAAATGATAATGCCAATAAAATATACAGGAATCTATGGGACACGATGAAAGCAGTTCTATGTGAAAAATTCATAGCATTGAATGCTCACACTAGGAAAACAGAGCAAGCTAAAATAAACAACCTAATGATGAATCTTAGACTTCTAGAAAAAGAAGAGCAAGAAAAACCCAAGAGAGGAAATTATAAAGATTACAGGAGAAATCAATGCAATGGAAACTAAGAAAATTATACAAAAAATAAATGAATGAAAACTTGAATGAAAAAATAAATGAAACTTGGTTTGTTGAAAGAATAAATAAAATTGATAAACCCTTAGCTAACCTTATCAAAAAAAGAAAAGGCTCACATCCATGCAATTAGGAATGAAAAAGGTGCAGTCACAACAGACCCAACAGAAATCCAGAGGATCGTTAATATCTACTTTGAAAAACCTATATTCTAATAAAATGGAAAACACAGAAGAAACGGACACACTTCTAGATACTTATGAATTACCAAGTTGAACAAAGAAAATAAAAAAATTTTAAACACCACAATTACAATCAGTGAAATTGAAAGTGTAATTAAAAGTTTACCAACAAAGAAAAGCCCAAGTCCTGATGGATTCACTGCTGAATTTTATAAGATATTTAGAGAACTACTGCTACTATTCTTTAAACTTTTCAATGAAATTGAAAGGGAAGCAATACTTCCAAATTCATTACTGGAAGCAAGTATCACTTTGATTCCCAAACCATGGAAAGACACAACTAAAAAAGAGAACTACAGAGCAATCCCCTTAATGAATATAGATGCAAAAATCCTTAATAAGATACTAGCAAACAGAATACAGAGGATCATCAAGAAGATCATACATCCTGACCAAGTCGGATTAATGCCAGGGATGCAAGGATGGTTCAATATAAGGAAGTCAATAAATGTAATACATTATAATAACAGAGTCAAGGACAAAAACCATATGTTCCTCTTGATAGATGCTGAAAAGGCATTTGACAAAATTCAACACCCATTCATGATAAAAACCCTGCAAAAAACTGTAATAGATGGTCTATATCTCAACTTAATAAAGGCTATCTATGAAAATCCAACAGCCAACATCATATTAAATGGCTAAAAACTGAAAACCCTCACATTAAAACAGGAACAAGGCAAGGATGCCCACTATCACCACTCCTCTTCAATATAGTTCTGGAAACATTAGCCACAGCAATTAGACAAAAGAAAGAAATCAAAGCAACAAAGACAGGAAAGGAAGAAGTTAAACTGTAATTATTTGCTGACGATATGATACTCTACATTGAGGACCCAAAAAATTCCCGAGTTCAATCCCCGGTACCAAAAAAAAAAAGAATGAGAAATTAAGTCATTCATAGGAAAATGGATACATATTGAGGATATACTCCTAAGTGAAATGAAGAAGTCACACATGTATAAATACTGAATAGTTTCTGTGGTATGAAATCGATAATAGTACATAAGATCCTAATGATATAATTGCTAATGTGAAATAGGAAGAAAAGGGCTAAAGGTGTAGGGAAAGTGGGAAGTGTAGGGGAAAGGTAATAAGGGAAAAGAAGAAATATGAGGAAATGAAAAAATGGAAAAAAAGTGTTTGTAAATGGGAAGGAGAGGAGAGGGTAAAGGGAGGGTGGGGATAAGGGGAAAAAATGAGAACCAAGACCTGTCATATAAAGGTACAAGATCCCAATGATGAATATAAATGTACTGTATACCTAAAATGTACCAATAAACTCAATGAGAAAAAAAAAAAAAATGAAGATCCGAGCAGCCAAAAGCCAAAAGAAAGAAAATGCAAATTTGAATATAAGACCACTGAAAATAGCAAATCTGAAAAAACAAAAAATGAACAGATGAGAAATCATCAATTAGATAAAAACATACATTATGGGAGCCCTACAAAGAAAAGGGGAAAAGAAAAGTCATAAAAATATTTGAAGAAACAATGCCTGAAAAATTCACAAATTTCATAAAGACATGAATCTCCTCATTCAAGAAGCTCAAAGAACTCGAATTAAGACAAAAATCAGAGATTCACATGGAGCTATACTGTAATCAAACTTTCAAAGGCCAAAATAAAGTGAAAATTTTGAAAGCAGCAAAAGAAAAGCAACTCATCATATACAAGAGACACATAAGTAGATGAAAAACTAATTTCTCAACCAAAATCAACAGTGTAACAATGTATTTAAAGTGATGAATAAAAAAATGTCAGGGGGTGAAGGGAGGGCAGAGGTAAGGGGAAAAAATGAGAATCAAGACTTGCCATGTAAAGGTACATGATCCCAACAATGAATGTAACTGTACTGTATCCCTAAAATGTACCAATAAACTCAATAAAATTAAAAAAAAAATGTCAACTGCAAAGTATGTATGTGGCAAAACTATCCTTTTAAACTGAAGGAGAAATTAAAATGCTCTAGATGAACAAAAACTGAATGGAATTGTCACAAGTAGACCTGAGGCTTATAAAACAGACTTAAGTGAGTCGTCAGGTTGCAATGAAAGGATGCTAGACAGCATAATTCTGAAGTCAAAAAATAATATTTAAATTCTTAAAAAGTAATTACAGAGGTAAAATAAAAAAAGAGCATTACTAGAGGTTTTTGTTGTTTGTTTTAAGACAGGGCCTCACAAAGTTGATAAACTGATCTTGCTGCCTCGTTCTACCAGAGTGCTGGGATTTCACGTGTGTACCACCACGCCGAAGTCAGTCTTACTGTATTTTTAGTTTCTAACTCCTCTTTTGACTTTCTCCAGAATTTAAACACAAATGTATCAAAAACGACTATAAATCTAGGTTAATGACTATACAACATATGAAACAGTAATTTCTGAAAATATCATAAAAGGAACAAAAGGAGCTGTGCAGGAGTAAAGCTTTATACACTACTGGAGTATCAATTCAAAATAGATCATCTTAAATTAACCAGGTTAACTGTAATCCTTAAAGTAGCCACTACTAAAATGTCTAATATATTACAAACAGAAGTGAGAAGGCTGGGGGTATAGCACATGAGCAGAGTGGTCATCTAGCATTCATTCTTGGCTTGATCTCATGAACTCAAAAACAAAAAAAGTGAGAAATGAACCAAAAAGATACACTACCAAAAAAAAAAAAAAAAAAAAAAAAAAAAAAAAAAAAAAAAAAAAAAAAAAAAAAAAAAAAAAAAAAAAAAAAAGCAAAAGAAGATAGTAATGGAGGAATCAAACACATGGACATATGACATATAATGCACAAAGAAAAATCTGAAGTCCTTGTGTATAATCAATCACTTTTATAAATGGAATTAAACATGAAAACTGAAACAAA